GTTCTTCAGGAACTTCACTTCTTCTGCTCACCTTCAAGGCCATTCATAACCTCGCACCTCCTTACCTTTCTGACCTGTTAAGCACTACCTTTCCTGCCCGCTCACTTCGATCTTCTTCTGTCCAGCTTGTTGTGCCTTATTTTGGCCTCACCACCACGGGAAGCAGAGCTTTTAGCTGCTCTGCTCCCAGGCTGTGGCGCTCTACCACCAGATATAAGAAACATTGGTTCTCTCCCCCAGTTTAAATCTCAACTCAAAACCCATCAGTTCAAATCTGTATATTCACTGTTTGTTAATTATATCCTGTGCTTTTGTTTTATTGTTCTTCATAGTGTCATTGTTATATTATGTGTTTTTATCTATTGTACAGTGTCCTTGGGTGTCTTGAAAGGCGCTTTAAAAATTAAATGTATTATCATTATTATTATTATTATTATTACAGCAGTGGCATGGTGGAGGTCATTTTGTGGAGCTCTGGCAGAGCTCATCCTTGCAGAAAGAGACAGATACAGGTCCTGCTGCTGGGCCCTGTCCAGCTGTCTTACCTGTCTCCTGGAATTTCCCCAAACCTTTCTGATTCCAAGATATTTTCTTTTTTTTCTCTTTTTTTGTTGGGGGGGGGGTCACCATTGGTCCAGCCACAAACTACATGTTTCATTTCCTTTAAGCTCCCTTCATAAATACTTAGATCAAATATTGCAGCCTACCCTGTCTAATAATACTGTTTAATACATTCCACATACCTTTAATACATTTCTATTATTCTGTAATATTTTATTATACATCTTTGTAATTTTTTATATATTTTTGTTTCCTTTCTTCTGTATTGTTCTATTATAATTTGCCTGTAAACAACATTTACATTTCACCTGTAAAAGCCACTCTTCTGTCAGTGATCAATTTTATGTTCTGTCACCCACCCATCGCTCTTTTTTTTTTTTTAAATCACAAGTTTTCTGGGGGAACCTCAGAGGGCACAAATAGTTTAAAAGCCAGTTCACTAACTGGCCACTTGAGAGCTCTTCTCTTTTTACACAATGACTGTTGAGAAAGTTGGAAGGAAGCATTTAAGAAGTTTTGCAAGGGAAGATGGGAAGTTAGAAGCTGACTGTCTGCATAAAGTATGTGGACATAAAGCAAGACAAAAAGGAAATCAATCATGCATTATTGTAGATGTTGAAGACATAGAGCTAACTGTTGGGTTTCAGCCATCATAGCAGCAGAGCTTCAGGGGCAAACATCATAACCACTGCCATGATGCTGGTTTGTGAAGTCTTGCTTCAAAGACAGTTCATCTAGTCATCAACCTCTTGGTCTTTCAAAGTGACCATATTTGGGCACACATGGACGTCTAGAATTTAGGTACTGTTCAATTACACCCACAGAAAAATGTATAATTTGTCAGATATTTGCATTAAAAACAAACTGGGTCAAGAAATCCACACAAATTAGCGGCAGTAAAGCCTAGCAGGGAGCTCACAGTCAAAATAGCCATACTTCTAATACAGCAAAGTGTAATCAAATTTAAACAGGTGGTTAGCAATTAGCAGCTAATGCTCACTGAAATCTGTAGTGTGTGGAAAGCATGATCCCCTGACACGCCTTGTGTTTGTTATATGAACAGGAAAAACTGCACATAAAAATATCCTGCATGCACACCTGAGAGCATTTACTCATTGGAGCAGCTGAAACACGACATCTTCAATCAAGACGATGAAATACTCACTGTTTTCTTGTCCATCTTGTGTGCTCGTTGTGGAGAGTGACAGCAGTAACAACCATGCGATCATGATAATCCTCCCGTGTTTATTTCTTTGTAGAAAAAAAACTTCATGGATTGAGTCAAATGGTTGCCATAGCTCTGGTGATAAACATTTACAAATGGTTGTAAAGCAGGTTCCTGAGGCTTCCTTTATAGAAACAAAAAACTTTCACACACAAAACACTTTTGTGAGTTTTATTTGAAGACTCTGAAGAGAAAAGTCACCATGTCAGTGTCAGATAACTCCCTGGAGTCGCTCTCCCTTCTCATGTAAGCTTTGGGAAATCATTTCAGTTCATGATTGTGAAATCCATGTGAGCTCCAGTACAGGAAACAGAGCAGTCGCATTCTCGTAACTGTGACTCACAGCAGCGAGGCCAGACATTCCTCACTTGCTCTAAGATTGTTTTCAGACTTGAAACCTTTTAGAAAAACACTAGTCAGAGAGAGAGAATCGGTCATCAGACTAAGGAAAACACTTGTTATCAGTGGTTCAGAACAGAAGCAGGGAGTTTTTTTTCCAGGTAAACAAAAACAACACGCCCAGATTAAATCTCTTAAACAGAGGCTTCTCAGATCTTGGTTAAGGATGAGATTTCTGTCAGTTCATCTATCAGTCAGTATGCTGCAGTTTTTCCAGTAATGAAAGGGAGGAACAGGAAGAAAGGAATACAAGGAAAATTGAAGATAAGGAAGCTCAATAAGTGCTACATTAAACAATACTACTTATTAAGAGGCTGTTACAAGCTTTTATGTACTCCTTTTGTTTGGCTTTCCTCCAACTCATCCCCTGACAGCAGTAAAACTGACTCCCCTCCCCCAATTCTGAGTAAAATCCTTTCTGCCTCACCCTGCCCTCTGCTTCCTGGAGTGTGGACATTGGTTGAACATGTCATTTGGAGCCAGTAAATATGGACAGTAAATAAAAGTGTTGCGATGTGCCTGGGATGAGCTCTTAACAGTACAGTAGGACTCACATAGACTGCATAAATGGTGCTTCAGGTTTTTTTCTGTCTTATTGTCACATGTGTATGAAATCAAATCACCTAGCCACGTAGTTTGCCTTCACAGACATTTGTGAAAGAGCTCATTGAACTGGTCTAATATAGGATGCTACTGTTGCAACATGTCAGTTTCCTCCCTGTTGAATACTAAGGAGTATGTGGTGTTACTGCAAAGCAGAAGCATTTATGAACCACAGGAAGTTGCTGAAGTGCCTAAAAATCACCAATGCTCTACTTACTCAGTGACTGCAGAGCTGCAAAACTTGCTGACATTAACATCAGCACAGAAACCCGGAGCCAGGGGCTTCATGGCATGAGTTTCCACGGTCAAGCAACTCCTTCGGGTGGTCAGGCACTTAATTTCTTCCATTCATCCATCCTTTCCTGCTTATCCAATTCAGGGTCGTGGCTTTAATGTTCCGTATACAGAAAATGACTGGAAGAAGACACTATGAATACATAAAGCATTTAATTAAATAAGGGGGGGAAATAAAACCATAAATCATTAAATAAAATTTAATTTTGTGATGTTTTTTTGTCTCTAATATGGTAATAATAAGATAATAACACAACAAAAACTGCTGTTTACACACATACACACACTTTCATGCACAAAGCCACTTTTTAGTTGTCATGAGTGACTGTGAGAAGGAAAATTACCCGAGTCAGTTATCTAATGAAATTCCTCCTTTATCAGTCATTTGAACCAGATCGTAATGACAGGCTTAGTTTTGTTTTCATACAAAGACAACAAAGAAAAGGTTCAGTCTTTCCTTTTCCCACTAAACATCTAAAGAATCCCCTCCACTCCCTGTTTCCACTGAATTTTCATTTCGGAACCACACAGCACTCCAGAAATTCCAGAGAAGGCAAGTGAGTATGTGAGTTTATAATTGCAGTGTTGACTTTAAACTGAGCTACAAGCTGATCTGCAGCTGCACTGAGAGCCGCACTGAGTCACTGGTTTTACTAGACGTGTATTTAGCCACGTCTTCATGTGTGATGTCAGCTGTTGGGAATTTTTTCTTTCTTGTTATCTCCTGTCCACAGAATTATGAAAACACAACGATCCTATTCTAAGGTGTTCTTACCAATGACACACAGCTTCAAACAGTTTTCTCAGATTTCAGCATATAAGAACATTAAGTTGCTTTTTGTAGTCATCGTTCTGTGAGACTGTGTACACAGATATTGTCGGGCATGTCCTTTTAAATGATTACATTTATTTTTTTTATCACATATACTTACTCCACCATCATGTGGTACAAATTAATACAATTCAGTTGATAAACAGATGTTTTTTTTTTTAATTCTTAACAGAATAATTTACCAGAAGTGACTTTAAATGGTGCCTTTGCTGCTCATTTATAGCTTTTTTGGGGGGGACGTTTCCAGGATATTTTACTTGGTGTTTCAGAGAAACAATAAAGTTTGGCCAGAGGATTGAGTGGACAACCACTGGGTGTGACAGAGTTTCATGACCTTGAGGCATACTGTGGGCTCAAAATATGAATATTTATTCTGGACAGCACAGTGACGCAGTGGTTAGCACTGTTGCCTTACAGCAAGAAGGTCCTGAGTTTGACTCCTCCATCTGGGCAGGGCCTTTCTGTGTGGAGTTTGCTGGAGCTTCCTCCCGTAGTCCATGCAGTTAGTGTGGTTAGATTTATGCAAAAAATTAAGGGCTCAAAAGTCTGTTAGACTGGACTTTTTTAAAACACAAATATTTAGAAAAGCGTTTGATATATGGAGCTAAAAAAAAAATTAGGAATCATTATATATGTCTAAATTTTGGATCATAAATTATTTTTGCAAATCAGAGACGCTTAAGCAGAAAATGTTTTGAAAAGCCATAAATGAGCCCTTAAAAAATTCTCCAACTTTACCTTGAACATCTTTATCTAGAATTAGTAGATTCAACCATTAAGTTTCACACAGTTAAAACTTGGACAGAGTTGGGAAATCCCAAATATACGTCAGCACTTATTTTGGAATAAGTCAGGCCAACAATAATCTTCAGGAGTAACTTTCCCCAATCAACCCTACTGAAAACTATGTGATCCAGTCTTTATCCAGGAAACCAGTCAAATTAAATGAACTTCATCAGTTCTGCCAAGAAGGTCAAATCCAGCCAGAATTTTACCAGAAGCGTGCTGATGGCAACTAAAAGCATGTAGTTGAGGAAGGAACTTGCTAATGGACAGTTAAACTAATATTAGTAGGAGGGGCTGAAAGGGTGCCTCAACTACTCTGCTGGAGTCAAAGTAGTCTGTAGCTGTTG